ACTGTATATGATGCCATTACACAATAAATTTGTGATTTGTTTGGAGCTGACTCTCCCATCAGTCAGGAGTCAAGACAGCTAACAAGCCGTAATTTTGTATTACTTGCAGTTTGGCCAGATAATAACACATTACATTTTGAACAGAATATACATATGTTGCTCTGAAAGCAGTGCTTCCTATTTATTTCCACAGAAGCTACAACACATACAAAGAGCACAATACTACCATTTGATAGTGTCAATTCTGACACAGAATGCTCTTTCTCAATACAGGCACCATCATTAGCTGTGCATTTTCATTAGTGATGAACAAGAGCCTGCACGCTACGCTCATAAAAATAATGCACAAGTGGAGGTGACCCACAGTCACAGTGGCCACTGCTAAAAATGTACCACCCACCACACCACTGTGCTCACACCCACTGTTTGTCTCCATAAATGTTCAGCAAGTGTCAATGAATGTACAGTTTTTTCTGCATGGAGGAATTCAGTTCCACTCCTTTGATTCATACACACCTTCCATGTCAGACACCATTCTGTCAGGTTGCCCCTCTGTTGCCATCATGTGGCAACATAAGTTAATGGAATATTGGTGGGGAAGGTTCAGCCTCTACTGCCATACCGCCACCGACGTTGTGGGCCAACATAATAAAATAGGAGGCATTACTTTCAGAGTAGCCCTCCTATTTACAGCCATAAAGTCTGAATAAAAGTCCAGAACCTTAATAACATATGGACTGAAAAAGCCTGCAAGTTAAAAAGTGTGGTGGTACATAAAGAAGTATTTGTTTTAAAATGAATGTGTTTGTTTTCAACATTCTCTCCTGCTGCTTTTCAGAAGACACAGTGAAGAGAAAAAAATCATAATGGAAAAAAATATTTGCCATATGCATAATACTTTAAAATGGCAGCATGAAATAAATATTAAAGATACTCTATTAATTCATCAGTCCAAAAGAGGAGGCTCATGAAAAGAAATGGAATTTTGTTATTCCTAACCACAAGTCACAGGCTTGGACTTACGAATATCCTTGATTTTTATTATGCAAAATCCCAGTTCCAGTTTTATATTTTCTTACAGTGACATAACTGTTACAAAATTTTGTTTGTTTGCCACATTCTTTCTGTCAAAGAACAAAGAATTATTTTATCAATAGGATTTTAATTACTATCCATTACATCAACAACCATGACTTTTGGGAACTACGGTCTCTGTTATCTAGGGTTTAGTTTGCTAAGGAGAGAGCATGTAATAAACCACAACTGCAGTTTATAAGACAGCACATACTAAAGCATTTTTGTTCATGCAGATAGCTTTACAAAATCAATCGTAGAATGGCTTAGGTTGGAGGGGACCTTAAAGATGATGTATTCTAAGCCCCCTGCCATGGGTAGGGCTGCCAGCCACTACATGAGGCTGCCCAGGATCCCATCCAACTTGGCCTTGAATGCCTCCAGCAATAGGGCATCCACAGCTACTCTGGGCAACCTGTTCCAGCACCTCACTACTCTCTGAGCAAAAAATGTCTTCCCCATGTCTAACCTAAATCTTCCCTTTTAGTTTCAAGCCATTCCCCCTTGTCCTGTCATTATCAGACTTTGTAAGAAGTTGGTCCCGCTCCTACTTGTAAGCTCCCTTCAAGTACCGGAAGGCCACACTGAGGTCTCCCCAGAATCTTCTCCAGTCTAAACAAGCTCAGCTCCATCAACCTTTCATCATAGGAGAGAGAGGTGCTCCAGCCCATTGATCATCTTTAGTGCTCTCCTCCAGACACCCTTCCAGCAGTTCCACATCCCTCCTGTACAGGGAGTCCCGGGCTTGGACACAGTATGGAGCCTCATGAGGGCAGAGTAGAGGGGGATGATCACCTCTCTCTCCCTGCTGTCACCCCTCTGTGGATGCGGCCCAGGATACTGTTGGCCTTCTAAACAGTGAGAGCACACAGCTGGCTCACATCCAGCTTTTTGTCCATCAGGACCACCCCAGGTCTTCTTTGTAGGGCTCTTCTCAAGGAGTTCTTTTCCCATTCTGTTTACATATCTGGGATTGCCTCAACCCAAGTGCAACACCTTGCACTTGGAAATCAAGATGGTCATCACATGCAGTTTGGATTTCGACATTCCATTAGAACCCAACCTACTAAATATTCCACATCCCCACATGGCTCTGTGTGACATGGTCTGCTTTTTAGCCCATGGCTCACAGAAGCCTGTCCCAAGACAGCTGGCTCATTTAATCCTACTGGACAGTATCTCAAACTGCAAATAGAAATCTTAAAGAAAGTACAAGAAGAGAAACAGACTTGATGGCACAGAGAATCTACTTGTTCTTCCTCTCTGGAAGAGGTAAATCCCTGCAAATCTGCAATAGCACATATTGGGAATTCTTACACTACCAGTTCTTTATATTTTGTTACTACAGAGAAAGTTTCAGTTACCAGGACCATCTGTGAATAGCTTCTTTTTCAGGCAGTAGCCTCTCTTTATATATGACGCTTAGACAGCTTCAGTAGCTGCTGAAGCACTGCTGTATGAGATGTCATTTGAGACATTTGAAAGAATACAGCTTTAAGATGAAAGTGTTATTTGAGTTAAGCTAAAAAAACAACACCATTATCTGCAGATCCTTCAACTTTACTCATCCAACATGTTTCTTTTCCCCTCTTCAACAAAAATGCATCTAAAGGAAATCAGACTTAAAATCCTTAGGCTCCAGCTATTTCAGGCACATATAACTGTAGTGAAAACATTCAAGGTTTGACACAGAAAGGAACACTAACACAATTAACTTGAAAATGTTTGTTTGAATCTCAAAATAAGTGTCTGATTCACACTCACTCAGCTGTGTTGAAATACTATCCTTAGCCCAACTAAAAATGAGGCGTAGGCCACTCGGGATGTGGAGGAGGCAGTGTCCAAATGCTCCTTGGGACTTTTTTGGACACACTGTTGCTCTGAAAGAACTTCTAAAGATGATCCAGTTAAAAAAATGATTTTTCTCATTCATGCACCGTTTGCTAAACAGAAAACAAGCCTTCTCATTCCTTAGAAAGATTCTGCCTTGAGTAGCATAAATCCACAATGAAGTTGGAGCTGCACAGGGACATTGCCTGGCACACATCTGTAACGCTCTTAACAATCAAACTTTATTTTAAACACATTTTGAATGCCTCTTGATTTGAGGAAGCCCAATTAACAACTTCTGTAAAACACTTTTAAGCAAGTGTGTCTCACACGACTGGCACAGTGAGAAGCTGCTCTTGCAGAGAACATGCACAGGCTTGTTTACTAACACAGTAGGATGTGACCTGTTTGGACAGCTGAAGTACTCTTCCTAGAATCAGCATAACCTACACCACTATCACACCTGTACAACGGGTCAGACACACACACCTGATACTGTGAATTTAACTACTTGAGAAGGAAGCTCACAACAGTGTAAAAGAATGCCTCCTTATTTTCTATTTCCTATGAAATGCAGAGCAAACCTTTCTAGATTAGACGGACTACTCTGAAATCTCAATCCAACTGGAAAAGCCTGACTGAAATTTAACCTTTGCATACAATTCACACCTTAACAGAGCAAACAAAAAAACCAAAACTCCAAGCTCCCTGGCTCAGCAGCTAACAAAAACACAAATCAGCAGCAGTGTTGGATTAATCTGCCTAAATTTGTGCTCAGAATAACATTCTTCAGCCTGTGCACCCCTGAATTTTTCTAAGCAGAAGTACAGGGCAATCTTAAGCAAAAGGAAGTCTCAAGAGGCCTACATTTTTTTACTTGTCTTCTGTGAAGTATTGAGAAATAATCCAGAGGTTTTGCTACAGACTGGCAACTAACACAGGGATACTCGAGCCTAAGTACTGCCAACATGGAAAAGCACACCTAGGGAGTTAGCTTTATTTCCAGGGCTAGTCCTCTCCTAGTCCTGGAGTCCCTAGCTGAGACCCCTGGCACCAGGAAGAGACACATGTGTCGATCTGTGTGGCATCTAAAGTCAGCCTGGTTTCAGTGTGAGAGGAGAAACTATTAGCTGCTCACTTCCTGGAAAGCACAGAAGAGCACAAGCTGAACATCTGCGTTTCCTGTTCAGCTGCTAACCTCATATATCATAGGAAAAGGTGGAACACCACAAAGAAAATAGATATCTTTGCTAGGTCTTGAACTTCTAATCTTTTTGTAAGAGGTGAGCCTTCATTTCTTCCATTTCCTACAACTTTGTCTGCTTAATGTTCTGCTCACCAAAGTTAATTTGTAAGAAAAATACAGTAGAGAACTTTCATCCCTACTTTGTTAAACACAGACCAAAATTCAGCTGCAATTATCATATTTCTTTACCATGTTTCATCTCAGAAGCTTTACAGTTTTACGGTCATTTTCTGGGCAATGACTGAAGTAGTTCTTTTTAGTCCCACTGGGAGTAAGCAGAGATAGCTGTGTGACCTCATTATGGAGGGGAATGGTGCAGGATTTTGTACCGCAGCCCCCCACAAGTTGCTGTGTGCTTCAGCCTTTCTTTCCTACTGCCTGACGGCGCTCCTGCAACCAGCGGTCACGTCTGTTGTATGGGGTTTGTGCCACGGAGTGAGGATAACTTCACTGGGTAAAAATGGGGTCTAACCCAAACAATCAGCTAATTTTCTATAGCACTAGTGGAGCAGAAGTCAAATTTGGGGTTGGTTTTTTTTTTGGATTTGAGAATTAAAGAAGCTGCACTTTCTAGCACACTCCATAAACAGTGCCTTAAGACAACTTTTAAATATATCTAATTTAAAAAGCGTTGCCCGCCTCCTCGGAGGCTGCCAGTTCCAAATCCCGTTCTGCAAATAGAACACTGCAGCCGAGGTTCGTTCTGGTTTGTAAACAAACCACCGCCGGCCGCCCGGCTGGAAAGAGCGGCACCAGTTAAAGTGCAACCCAGCACAGCGCGTCCCGAGGAGCGGGTTTGCAGCTGGGCTTCTCCCAGCCGGGAGCCAAGCGGTTACACAGCTGGTCCTACTGCAGCTAGAGAAGTTAATACACAGGCTGGGTTCAGCCTCGTCCCAAGGCCGTTTGGGAAGGAGGCACCGGAGCTGCGCAGCCCTTCCTCCGAGCACGGCAGCACCGCAGGGATGGATAAGTAAGCAGAGGGCTGGAGGAGCCGGCAGCGGGCCGGGCAGCCGAGGGCTGTGCCGTGCCGTGCCGTGCCGGCCGCAGCTCCCCCCGCAGTTCCCCCGCCGGGCCGGCACCGTAGCACGGGGTAGCGGCCGTCCCTCGGCCCCGCCGCTCACCTTCACCCGCTTGCCCTGGATCTCCAGGCTCTTCATGGTGAAGTCCACGCCGATGGTGCTGCCCTGGCGCTCCGCGAAGGCCCCTGTTTTGAAGCGCTGTACGAGGCAGGTCTTGCCCACGCTGGCGTCCCCGATGAGCACCAGCTTGAAGAGGAAGTCGTAGCTTTCCTCGGGGTCGGGGCCGGACCCCGGCGTCGCCGGGCCGGGCATGGCGCCGCCGCCCTCGGCCTTCCGCCCGCCGCCGCCGAGGGGAGCCGGGCTCTGCGCAGCGCCCGCCG